TGATATTCCTCCAGCACTGTTCTTTCTGTTAAGGGTCATTTTTGCTATTTGGGATCTTTTATTGTTCCATATAATTTTTTGGATTGCCTCTTCTATTTCCTTGAAGAATGAGGTTAGAATATTGATAGGTATCACATTGAATTTGTAGATATCCTTGGGAAGTATTGCCATTTTCACGATGTTGATCCTTCCTATCCATGAGCTAGGAAGTTTTTTTTGCCACTTTCTAAGTTCTGTTTTGATTTCCCTTTTCATGTTTTTAAAGTTTTCATCATAGAGGTTCTTCACTTCTGCAGTTAAGTTAATTCCTAGGCATTTTATTTTTTGTGGGGCTATTACGAATGGAGTTGCTTTCCTAATTTCAGCCACGCTTTTCTCATTGTTGGCATACAGAAAAGCCATTCATTTTTGAGGGTTAATTTTATACCCTGCTACTTTGCCAAAGTTTTGAATCAGCTTGAGTAATTTGAGAGTGGAGTCCGTGGGATTCTTTTTTTTTTTGTTTCTTGATATACTATTTATTTATTTATTTACTTATTTATTTGGTTCTGGTTCTGGTACTTGAACTCAGAGTCTGGGCGCTGTTCCTGGGCTTTTGTGCTAAAGACTAGTGCTCTGCCACATTAAGTCACAGCCTTATTTCGTCCGTGGGATGCTTTAAATACAAAATCATCTCATCTGCAAAGAGGGAGAGTTTTACTTCTACTTTCCCTATTTGGATCCCCTTTATGTTTGCATCTTGTCTTATTGCTGTAATGGCATTCTAATACTAGATTGAAGATAAGTGGAGAGAGTAGACATCCTTGTCTGGTTCATGAGTTAAGAGGAAATGGCTTTAGTTTTTCATCATTAGTTATAATGCAGGCTGTAGGTTTGTCATATACAGCCTTTATTGTATTGAGGAATGTTCCCTGGATTACTATTTTTCCAGAACCTTCATTATAAAGGGGTGTTGGATCTTGTCAAATGCTTTTTCTGCATCTATTGAGATAACCATGTGGTTCTTATCCTTGCTCTTGTTGATGTGATGAATTAAATTAACTGATTTGCATATACTGAACCAACTTTGCATCCCTGAAATGAATCCTGTTTGATCGTGGTATATGATTTTTTGGATAAATTGTAGAAGTGGATTGGCCAAAATTTTGATGAGAAGTTTTGCATCAATGTTCATCAAAGAAATGGGTTTATAGTTCACAAGACACTATTTTGAAAACGAATTATACAACTTTGTGGACGGGGTGTTGAGGAGGTGGGGAGGGAAAGGATATTAGAGGAAAAACAAAGGAGGAGGAAACAATGCTTGATAGGAAATGGATTCATTACTGCTGTAAATGTAACCCCTGTATACAGTATTTTTACAATAAAAATATATTAAAAAAAAGAAAAGCAACAAAGGGATGAAATAGACTGTGCACAATGAGCTCAACTCTATTAGAAACATAAAAGGACATTTTAATAGGATGGAAGAATGGCTGAAAATTTTATCGCCTCAGTACCATCTTCAATTG